CGGAGCCTGCCAGGTCACCTGTGTGGCCTGCCAGGCCAGGGGCGAGGCCTGCCAGCCTTGCGGAGGAGCCTGCCAGCCCGGCGAGGTGGCCTGCCAGCCGGGGGGTGTGGCCAGCTGGGCCGGCGGGGCCTGCGGGCTCTGGGGAACCTGTGGGGGCGCCCTTATGACCTGAGACTGGATTTGCAGAATCAGAGGCTGAGCCTGCGGGGCCCAGGAAGCCAGAGGCTGCGCAGGTGGCGCCGCCGCCTGGGCCATCGCGACTCCTGAAGCGGCGGGCTGGCTGATTGGCGCTCTGGAGCCTGAAGGCTGGATCATCAGGACGCCGGGACCCGGAGGCTTGGCCATCGGAGCTCCTGGGGGCGGAGGCTGGGCCATCGCGGCTCCCGGAGCAGGCGGCTGGACCATCAGGACTCCCGGAGTCAGAGGCTGAGCCATCAGGACCCCCGGAGCAGGCGGCTGGGCCATCGGTGTCCCCGGCGGGGGAGGGTGAGCCATCGGTGTCCCCGGCGGGGGAGGATGAGCCATCGGGGTCCCCGGAGGGGCAGGATGGGCCATCGGGGTCCCCGGAGGAGGAGGATGCGCCATCGGGGTCCCCGGAGGGGCAGGGTGCGCCATCGGGGTCCCCGGAGGGGCAGGGTGGGCCATGGGGGCCCCGGGAGCCGAAGGGTGCATCATCAGGACCCCCGGAGTCGGAGGCTGGGCCATCGGGGTGCCCGGAGGGGGAGGGTGGACCATCAGGACCCCGGGAGTCGGAGGCTTGCCCATTGGGCCTCCCAGAGGGGGGGCCTGGACCATCGGGGCCCCTAGGGCCGGAGGCTGGGCCATCGCGGCCACCGGGGCGGGCGGCTGGCCCTGCGGGCCCTCCCAGGCGGGCTGAGGTGCCTGCCAGGCGGCCAGCGAAGCCTGCAAATCCATCGGAGGCGGGTCCCAGGGGACCGGCGGGGCCCGGGAGGATGCGGGCGGGGCGCGCATCAGAACCGTGGGTCGGCTGTAGACCGGCGGCTTGGGCGCCTCCGCCGGGGGGCTGGAGTCACCCAAATTCTTACTTAGCTGCGACATGTCCCTTCGCTCCGACAGCTGCTGGGCCTTTTCCTCCAGAGAGAAGCGAATGCCTACGTGGCCGAGCAGAGGATCCCTCCCTGCTGACTGGTGAATAGGAAGTGAGTGCCCTTAGCTCTGCAGCTTTCCGCAGTAAGAAGGAGGGGGGAAGGGGGCTCAATCCCGCCCCTTCCCCGCCCCCGACCACCACAAGTGGATAGTGAATAGGGGCGTCTACCAGTAATCCTGGCCGACACAAGATACCTTCCCACTCAGTCTCCCCACATGCAGCCGGTTCAGACAGCCCATGGGTGGGCTTTCGGCGGGGAGGGGGGGGCGACAGGAGCAGGTCAATGTTCTAGAAATCACCACACTGCGGTACAGAGCGGGAGCAGACCACTGGAACATGCGAGGCGTCCGTGGCGGGGCGGGGGAGATGGTGTAGCCTGAGCCCGCAGACAGGGAGCGGAGCGCGGGATGAGAGGGATGTCCCTCCGCATACTCACACAGGGCTCCGCAGCTACTGTCACTGCCAGAGCAGGTGGGGGGGGGGAGACACGTGCGCCTGTCCCGGGACGGAAAGTGGGCACTCGCCCCCGGAGCTTGTCCTCCTGGGGACCCGGCGGGAGGCACACAGGAGGACGGACTGATGGCTATCGGTCGGGGACACGGTCAGGCACAGTGCCGTGGGACCGCCCCGGAGAGGTGCCCTGTACAACCTCGTGTGTAAGGGACTCGGA